TGGATTCAGTTACTGGCTATATTGCTCTTTCCTTTGCTCTGTGCTATGAAAATGATAAACAAGGTTTTATATTATACAATACGCTTTGCCAGTTAGGTGCCAGGTACAGCTTGCTTCATATCACGTTACCATAGTAACCACCATATTGTGCGCCTTTTGGCGCGTAGTGATGATGTTAGATAACTAGATTACATAATTAATTTCGTTTCCAAAATAGTGTAGAAGAGCATATTCGCACGAACCAATTTACCGTCATGGCGGAGTACAAGAAACTCATTTGAACATACAATGGTCGGTTATTTACCTGTAACATGTCAATGTTTACTTTCCGTACCTATGTCTTGGTCTTTGTCTGTGAACTTGAACTTAGTCTTTCATAAATCAAAATTAGTGAAATTTAAACAAGAAAAAGCGCCAATGTCAAATATATTTCACTGGGAGTCAACAATTCTTAGTTTAAGGAGGTTCGGACCAATTTGAGAATTGAATGTATGTTTTGGCTAGATCTGCATTCGGTTCAATCTCCCATAAATTATAAGCAATTGTCGACGAGTCATGTGTGTATTTATATTACGAGGGCATTAGGTCGTTTTTGTAATTTCAACTATACATCTGCGTTTACGTGTTTCGCTTCTCATGAATATATCAAAATATCAATTATTTCTGGAGTTCCTGCTATAATTGTAAAACGTTAAGAATAGCAATGGGACACGCTCCAGAATTAATGAATGTATTAAAAAAACATATATGACATCGCCAGGGAATATTTTAATACACTGGCCGCCACGCTTGCTTGTGTAAATGTTCTGGCATAAGACTTCATTATTATTGTTTATTCCACGCCACCTCGTTAGCTAAATATGGGTTAGTGGAACCATCCCGATTGCCACACTATGTATATTTCGTTTCATATTTACTTTGATATGATTTTATTCCCAAACGAAACATAATTTTGTATACACACATCGACAAGATATTTCAGAAATATAAGACTTTTCGACTCCAACTTTCACCGCGTCAACACTATACATCCATCGGAGTTTTATGTGTCAATTGGATATGACCGTGATTATACTGCGCTGTGTTTGCGTGTAGAAATTGCGATGTTGGGGAATCGATTTACGCATGTCCAACCGGTCATTGTAAGAGCGAAATAACTACACGCTACATCGAGCCATCTTTTTAGGGACAGAATGACGTGGCGTAATTTTCATGTTTATTTTATGTTAATATATGTATGCCTATAATTTCGATTTGTTATCATCCATCATAATGGCTGGTTTACTGATCATGTGATATACTGATCATGTGATATTTGCATTCTGGAAATCATAAATTTCTAAATCTCAGTCTATCAACAAAGTTCAATGACTGTTTCGCACACGTGACACAATAAACGTACTCATGAATAACCGGGATATTTTGTCTCTATATATAGCTTCAACAGCACCCTGCACAAATCGAACTGCAAAATGCACAGCAGTACCCTGCGTATACACAACAATACCCGACGTACCCACAAGAGTGCCCTACGCAACCTCAACTGTACCCTACGGACGCACATATGTACCATGCGCAACCACAGAACACGCAACTACCTGTTTATGCACCAGCTTCCGTTGGGCCACTCTCTGGTGCGCCAGAATCGACGTCACCCGGGACGGTTGCTGTAAAATCTAGCAAGCTGAGTTTAGGAGCTAAAGTAGCTATTGGTCTTGCTGTAGCGCTGGTATTAGTGGTTGCTGTGGGAATCGGTGTCGGTATTGCTGGTATGTATAACGAATTGAACAGCACTGCGATCTTACAATTGAGAGTGGTGTAACCCTACAATAACCTTACAAAACGTAATGCATAAAGAATGAGACAAAAAGTACAATCTGCGCACATTCTAAATCAGTTTTGTTTCGATTGCAGTAATAAGTAACAATAGTAATAAAGTGACGGATTATTTCTTAGACGTATCTACGGCATCTATACCACATTTATGTGGCGAGACTACTCTCAATAACTCCACTGGTGAAATCAGTTCTATGAACTATGATGGATCAACTCTGTACGACGCGAACGCCTACTGCACTTGGCTTATTAGAGTCGATATTGGACAGGTAGGATATGTATAATAATTCCCTTGTATTGTGACTAACCAATAGCATAGTTTAGTGGCAAACCTTGAATGTTCACGACAGTGTCCCCTCGAAATCTGGGAGGGGATACTATACTAACGAATGTTAGTATTTATTCGTATTTGCATACACCGGGGGAGCAACGTCAGAATAAAATTACTTTTGAACATGTTGGTAACCATGTCTACGTAGGTTAAAATACAAAACTTAGAGGCAAATGGAAATATATTAAACTATTAAGCCAGTGACTTAATAACCAAGATGGGTCGTGTACATCTGCTTATTTTGGAACAAAGCACAACCGCTTTTTTAATGAGTACAAATATATAAAAAGTCTGAAAAAGATAGTTGTGGTTTTCGAAAAAGGGGCGGAGGAACTTAATTTTAGGGAATTTTATGTGAAATAGCATGTTCAAATTACAAACATCACAATTTTACAATATTATTTCTTAAGATAGAGAAAAATTGATTGATAAGTTCAATTTTGTATACTACTATTTATGTTATTAGCCTAATTTACATATTCATAATTAATATTCATCATTCATATAAAACCCTCGCTCGTCAAACCGTAGAGTATCATACAAAGTGTTTTGTTTTATAATTTATGCTTCTATGGTAACAATGTAAATTATAATGTTGTAAAAACATGATAAAAATATTCGAAATGTTAAGGTGTATTTGTGAAACATGACATGATAAAAATCTAGCACAAAAGCATCGTAGTATATAATAAACGATTTATCGAAATTACCATAATGTAAATCGCCTCACGCATCTGTATTTAGTATTATGATGCACAATTCTGTACTCAGGCTTACCACAGTGAGCAGCATACTCATCACATATATACTATGGTCTGTATACACTGCATCCGGTTATATACGTAGTTTATTTTATTATACAAGTTGTCACCATAGATAATTTTAGATTTAGGTCATTTATCCCCATTTTTTTATTTTCAGAGGTTGTATTTTTCTCTAAGATGGGGAGGAGTAACTCCTTAAATATAGCTATTTTGAAATTACCCACATGCCTAAACAACAACTGATCACACGGGCCAGTGATTATGAAATCGACAACATGAGAATATGAAACTGGACTATTGTAACATTATATTCAAGTACTATTTTATTTATATTTAGTATGTTCTAGGCTATCGCGATATTGCACAAATATGTATATTTTAAATTACACTGGATGATAAAGGCAGCAACTACTGAATACTGTTTTCTATGTTTTTGATGTCTCACGTTGCGAACAAGCCCATTGTGACCTTAGACAAATTTCACACTCGGGCTGTCATGCAGCAATAATGCTTCACAAACTATTTTCTGTTCTAGGTAATTTCACTGTCATTCACTGCATTTGAACTTCAGTGGGGTCTCAGGCAGGATTATTACAACTTCTTGTGTGCGTACGACGCCGTTACTATTTTCGATGGCGAGGACAACACGGCACCACTGTTGGCGTCACTTTGCGGTCAAGACCTGCCCTCGCCTGTAGTGTCTTCAAGTAATACCATGTTCATTATCTTTTATTCGGATGGTTCAGAATCGTATACTGGCTTCCAGGCTTCGTATATGGCATCTGACATGAGCGGTGAGTACCATGGTATCAATGTAAACTTATAATTAAGCTACGTGAATAATATGCCCAGAGGCGGCGACGCGAAATGTGTGCATGGGGGCCGAGATCTGCTCATCAACCTTGAGCCAAGGCGCGACCTCACTGGGGGCTCCGGGGCGTGCTCCTGGTTAAAAATTTTGAAATATAAACCCTCTGAAACGCTATTTCTTGCATTTTGAAGGAAAAATTTTGCTGACACAAAGGGTTTCAGCTTGATTTTGGAGGGACGACGTCCCAACAATTTTTTGGAAGGGTGGACCTTCTCCTCTGCCCCTCCCTCCTGTGCTGTCGCCACAGAATGGTGTCAGCTAATGTCATTAGTATGTTGTTACAGTCTGATATTAGCAAACACATTTCACTATGAGCCTAGGTATAAGTGCATTTTTGTTAATTGCGAAAGTCGTTACATAGTATTACGTCATCGTATTAGTAATTATACGAAGGAAGACAATTCTGGCAAACAAATAGTGACACAAACAATAAAAGTAACATATTTGGTAGCATTACATTATGTGATGAATTGTGTGGTTTTTGCACGATATTACAATAATA